AAACACATGTAATCTTATCATTTAAAAAAAAATCTAGATACAATAAATCAGTATTTTAACTCTAATTAATTTAGATAATTTTCTACATATTTTGGGAGATCATATCACTGTTTCTTTCTTCAGTGTTTCAAAAAAATAGTGCTGTATTTAGGTTTAGGATTTAGAGAATCCGGGCCACTAAAGAAAGAAGACATTAACAGATTATGGCCCTGATTCAGTAAAAAACCAAGGCATCTGCTTAACTTCAAGAACCTGTTTAAGTGATGTGCTGAACTGGGGCCCAAAAAAGAGTGGTGAATGACAGTACATAAAGCTAAATTATTATGTAGTGCTCATTATTCTCTAATGCAGTGATTCTTAAACTTTTGTACTGGTGACTCCTTTCACATAGCAAGCCTCTGGGTGCGACCCCCCCTTATAAATTAAAAACACTTTTTTATATACGTAACACCATTATAAATGCTGGAGGCAAAGCGGGGTTTGTGGTGGAGGCTGACAGCTCGCCACCCCCCATGTAATTACCTTGCAACCCCCTGAGGGGTCCCAACCCCCAGTTTGAGAACCCCTGCTCTAATGGCTTTTTGAGATTCCAAAGTAGTAGTATTTATTATTTGTATTATGGTAGCACCAAGAGATCTAATGGTGCTAGATGCTGTACAGACACAGTAAAAGCAGCATATTTAATATTCAGATTCCATTTATAAATATTTTATAAAGGCTTAATAAATGCTTAATATGTGCTTTAATGAATGGGTAAGCCATTTTTATATATTAGTCCAAAAGGTCAATAGGTTGTTGATAACCATTGTTTATAACCATCCATAACATCACCTACTGCTTATGGCTCTTTATAACAGTAGCACTTATGTCTGTAGCATGCTAATAACATTTATTAACCCTTTATAAAGCATTTAGAAATTGAACCACAATAAAAGGCAGTCATCGACCCAAAGAATTTAGAATCTCACTTTAAGGCAAGATATAACAATTGGTGAAGGAGCACTGTAGTTTCAAACAGAGACTTATTTTTTCTTTAGGATTTTGGAGCAGTACAAAGGGGATATAAGAGGAGCTGAGGAACTAGACCTGTAAGTTCAGAAATCCCTCAAGAGTATATTTGGGCATATTCTGCAAGTGAAATCTAACTTTAAAGCTGTGTACAAACCTATCCATCTATCAAAATCAATCTTGTAAAGAATTAATTTGAAATAATTAACATTGTCATTTATTTGTATCGTGGTAGTGACTAGAGGTTCATATTTGGGGTTGGGACCCTTTTATTCGATGCATTGCACAGACATAAAATTTAACAAAAGAAACCTACATTAAGGATTTTACTATCTAACATAAAATAGAAGAACAGCTACCAGTTATTTTCCAGCATTATCTTCCCTGGGATTATTCTCATTAGCAAGAATGATCTGCGTATCTTTCTCTCTCTTCCTACCCATGAATACTAGCAATTTGCCTTAACCAAAATCACTTTGTTTTTATTTCCATTGAGTAATGGAATTATCCATTTCTATACTGAAAATTGCAATACTATTTTTGTATGTTTAATCTGTTATGAGTCTACTCAATTAATATTGCAAGCACCCTACAAGAGTGCAATAAAAAGAATATTAACAAAACACAATAAAGTCCAGTCTATGCACACAACTTTTATTTCTGTTGATGGGAGTTGCATGCACACTCCGATGGGAAACTAGATCCATTGGGTACATTTGTAGCAAGCGTATTTCTATCTTCAGAATAAAATCAAGAGCTAGAGATCAAAGTGACATTGTCATCTATTTAATTTGAGTGTTTTCCTCTTTATTGTTGTAATAACCTCTGAGAAGCTAGGAAATATAATTAGTCTTACGTACTGATTTCGTTTCCACCTGACAACCGTTATGTATTACTGCATCTCTAGTGCTTCTATTGTCAACATAGCTTCCGTTTCTTTGTGCCATTTATGTTGTTCCCCTTTGTGCACCAGCCTTGTTAATGATATTATAACATAATGTGAACAACTCTTACCAGTGGTTAACTGTTGCAGCAGTTAACCCAGTATTGGTATCTTTAAGAGTCGGTAATGTTCCACTGCAGAAATAGTTGCTAAAGAGTTAAGTGTTTTTTCTACCCTTGTGTGCTTGTGTCTCATGATTGAAGATAATGTCCTGCTGAGACTTAGTTGTTTTTTTCCCAATTACTATCTTTCCTGAAATAGAACATTGCATATTCATCCAAGGAAGCTTTCATACATTGAGTGTAAACAAGTAAGTGGTCTAATGATGAGAAGAGAAATAATTGCATGTATTTGTCTCTTTAGTGTTTAATTGCTGTGTTAAAGCATGTTATACGGTTCGTTTAAACTACATTATCTATATAGATAGATATGACAGAGAAAGAAAACACTCTTATCATATCCTCGCTTTATAGCATCTTCACAGGTATGGCACCAGTTGCTTCATCCCAATGTTCCTTTATTCCATTAATATTGTATTTGGTAGTTTGTAACATCCATGACTGTAGACTCACCCACTGATTATTGCTCTTTGTCCTCGCTTTTCTGGTGTGTATCATGTGACTCCTCCTGTTCAATAGATTCCTGAAAACCTCATCCATTGATCTCTACATCAGGCCCAAAACTTATGTTTGAGCTAGAGCATGTCTTCTAGAAAGAGATACAGTCTTGCTTTATAGATCATGATGGAGAATCCGTCGCATCCTCAGCTATGTTGTTCTAATGGTTAATGTTCATTGTTAAAAATATGCATCTTATTTCTAATCTGAACTTGTCTAGATGTGGCTTCCAACCATTGGATCTCATTATGCCTTTTTCTGCTAGATATAAAGAACAATCTAATATGAGAAATCTCTTTCCCATGTAGGTTCTTGTAGGGTGTGATCAAGTTACTACTTAACCTTCTCTTGGATAAACTAAATAGATTGAGGTTCTTTAGTCTCTCACTAAAAGGAATATTTTCCAGACCTCAGATAATTTTCCTAGCTCTTTTCTGAACTCTTTTTAATTTTTCAGTATTTTTTAAAGTTTGTTCCAGTAATGGTCTCACTGAGGTCGTAGACCGAGATGATACTACCTCCCTACTCCTATTCGATATTCCCCTACTTTTATATCTGAGGATTGTGTTTGCTCTCATTGCAACAGCTTTGCACTGGAAGCTCAGATTCATTTAGTTATCTGTCATGACCCCCTAAGTCCTTTTCATTGTCAGTGTGTTCCAGAATACAGTCCTTCATTCTGTAAGTATAACCTACGTTCTTTGCTCCTAGATGTATGACCTTGTATTTGGCTGAATTAAAACATGTTGTTCAAATGAACCCATCTTACCAAGGCATCAGCCTGTTCCCATTATTATTTATCACTCCCATTTTTTGTGCCATCTCCAAATTTAATTTTTAAGTGCACACCTTGTAGCATTTGTGGTGTTCTTATTATCCATGGACCAAATCCTAAAAGTTGATAAGCATCCATGTTTTAGTGGGAGCACCCGATTTTAATGGGAGGCTCAGCATGTCTCAGCACTTGATATGTTGTTACTAGCATTTTTCAAGTTCAGATCAGACAGAAATAATGGTGGGGGAGTGAAGCAACCAGAGGAAATGTCCAAGGGAATATTTGTTCCTGGCTGCCTTTTCTCACTTAAATTTGTAGCATGGGAGTCTTGTTGGATCCTGACTGCTTCGGTATGTTCAGAGGAGTGCATTATTCTTCCAGGTTTGGGTATAAAATTGCTACAGTTGCTTTTAGTTGTGGACTTCTCCATAGTGATCCATGTCACCTTCAGACTGAAATGTGCTCTATTTGGGATTACATCTGAAGGCCACATGGAAACTTTGATTAGTGCACAATGTGACTGCCCACTCTGCATATTACTGTAGATCTGTGCTCCATAGTCTATGTTGGTTAATTTCCAAGTGCAGTTGAAGGTGTTGGTTTTGATCTATAAAACTACCATGGTTTGGGTTTTGTCTGCTTTTGAGACAACTTGTCTGTGTAAAGTCAGTGAAGTTCCACATGGGCATAGGTTCCATCCTCACAATTCTGACTGGAGGACCAGGGACCTATTTTATTACTGCTGTATTTTAATGTATATTTATTTTAGATGAATCTGCTATCGTACTGAATTAATTAGAAATTCAGTATTTTGCCTTGATTTTACAGTAACATATAAAGGAAAGGGCTAAATTTAAATTAGTAAATAAGAAACTTAGTATCTCACCAATTAAAAAAACAAAGCAAGTTAAGTGGCATTCTAGCTGCAACTGATAGGTTGTGTCAATAATGATTCCTTCTTATAACCTCTCTGTGCCCTAATTCTGCTGCATGTCAGCACTCGATGAAAATACAGTTTCTCTAGGAATAAGAATAGAATGTGCAGTTATATTAGCTAGGACAAAAATTTACAAGGGCTATCAACCTTCTTGCCTCAGGGCATAAGAAGATCACCAGCTAGGATCAGGAAGAAATGTTTCCCTGCTGCAGATAGGATTACATAATTGGTCAGGTGTAAACAGGGGATGGTTTTGTTTATTACTCACCTTTCTCTGCAATGTATGTTATAAGCCAATGCCATAGGAAGGATCCCAGACTAGAAGGATCATTGGTCTTGGCAACCTGTGCATTATGGCAATTCTTATGAGGTTTTTTATGCTGTCTAAAATAAAAGATTCATGGTGTTTTTAAATACTGGTTAGCTTTGAAATGCATTGTTTCTAATACTGCCTTGCTAGATCTGTCCCACCAATGTGACTGTGGTCAGGGAGTATTGTCAATGCTCTGATTTCCTGTGGGATATCAAACTTGAACTAAAGAGAAGTGTCTCATATTCTAGTGAGGCTATTTCCCCCACTCCACCCCTTAGCCAGATGCACAAAGCAAGTGATAATGCTATCTGTTGGGAGCCAGCGGAGTGTTGATGGATCTGTGTACTCTGTGCATGAGACCCTGGCAAAGTCTAGTGATTTCTTTTTTTTTTTTTTTTGTCTTGTAGCTTACTCTTCACCAAAGTAAAGCTAGAACGGGTGCATAAAGGACCTGAAGAAGCTCTGGTGACCTGTAGACACATGTTGCATATGTGGCAGATGGTATATAACTTTTCACAGCACAGGTAAGTTTTTTATGTGCAGTCTGACAAATTTGAGCTTTGAAATGGAGATACTATTAACTTATGATTTAATTTTCAAGATATTCTGCTCTGCAGAAAGGCAACAAATAATACAAATTTTTAAAAATACATAGTAAAGCCAAGACCTTAAGAGTTATTTTTATATATAATTACCACCTTCATAAAAATAAGGATTTGAGGTTAAAGAATCACTTTTTGGCCAAGATTTTCAAAATTAGGCATCTAAATCCACACTTACATGGCCTGACTGTTTCTAAAATGCCGACCACCCATCAGCTCCCATTCAAGTCAATGGAGCTATGTTGTTTGATATCAGCAGAGGACATGGTCCCACATTATTTCCCCAAGAAAAAGGAAAAATCTTGAGCGTGCAAGTTACTAAGTTGATTTTCTCTCATCACAAAAGCCTTGCACACTGTATCACTTTCAGTGTCATTGATGGTACTTAGCACATATTATCCCACCACTGGATAAGACTGTAACCGTCAGAAATGTTGCGGGGGGAGAGGGGTACATTGCTAAGAATCTGCAAGCCTCAGCAGTTTGTGTATGTATTTATGTACACTTTATAAAAGAACTATACATACATAAACGTATCTGCTTAAACTTGTATCTTCCTTGAGGGATTATTAGAAACTGCCTACAGAGTTAACTCACCAGCAATTAAAATAGACCAAAAAAAGCGGTCATTAGAAAGTGAGTAGAAGAATGAGCCTGTTGGGATCATTGTTCTCCACAGGCTTCAGCCTATATGGGTCTGATCCTCAGTAAATAATCTTTACTCACACAAATAGTCCCATTGAAGTGGGACTTGGTGTTTTTTTTTCACAAATATTTCACACAGTTTCCAGTATGCCCTTGTGTTAGGCCAACTGCAACAGGGCTGACTGAGAGCTTTAAAAATATTACAGGTAGGATTTTCAAAGGGGTCTAAGGAATCTGGGCACTAATCCTTTGAAAATGCCTTCCCACATTACTAGGCATCCAGTCTTGATTTGAAGACCTCAAGAGATGAAGAATCCACAACTTCCATTGGTAGTTTGCTCCAATGGTTAACTACACTCACTGTTTAAAAATAAAATGTGCCTTATTTCTAATTTGGATTTGTCTGGCTTTAACATCCAGCCATGGGTTCTTGGGTATGCCTTTCTCTGCTAAATGAAAGAGCCCTTTAGTATCTTGTATTGTCTCCCCATGAAGGTACCGATATACCATGATCAAATCACATCTTGATCTTCTTTTTGATAAACTAAACAGATTGAACTTTTTAAATCTCTCACTCTAAGGCATTCTCTTTGTTTCTCATTATAAGGCATTTTTTCTAGTTCTCACATATTTTTGTGGTTTATCTCTGCAAACTCACCAATTTTTCAACATCCTTTTGAAAATGTGGACACCAGAACTGTACACTGTATTCCAGTGTCAGTTTCACTAATGCCTTATACAGAAGTAAAATCACCTCTCTTCTACTCCTCACTATTACCCTGCTTAATACATGTAAGGGTCGTATTAGCCCTTTTCGTGAGAGTATCACACTGGAAGTTCATGCTGAGTAGGTTGTCCGCTATGGCCCTTTTCAGAGTCACTGCTTTCCAGGATACAGCCCCCCATTCTGTAAGGATGGACTATTTTCTTTGTTCCTAGATTTAGGATCTTGCATTTGGCTGTATTAAAATGCATTCTGTTTTAATGGGCCAAGTATACCAAGCAATCCTGATCACTCTGCATGACTGCCCTGTGCTCGTCATTATTTATCACCCTGCTGATCTTTGTCATCTGCACATTTTATCATCTCTTCTATGTATAGGGATATAATTTAGTATCTCAGGTTTCACTGCATGGTAACTGCTGTCAAACATTGACTTCTTAATGCTGACTTCTACCTACGTACAATATTCTACCTCACGTCAGTAATGTTTTTAATGTAGTACTCCTCCACGTGTACTGCGCCATAAGCATGACATTGCTTTTAGGCGTCAGTCAGTAGCACAAGAAAAGAAGATCACTGCAGATGCTCTGTAGATACCTATATAGATAAGACAAAGATGCAAGAAGAAGTAGGTCTTTTTTTCAGTTGTTTTAACACTTAAAGTTAATAACAGCAATTTCAGATGATATTTCCAAGTAAAATTCAGCCTGTGGGATACCATGGCCCAGTTCTGAAATGAGCTCTGTGAGAGAAGGTCCAAATGATAGCATGGAGTCCCTTGGGGGTTCAGAGCCCATGTGAGGAATCTCAAGTAGGATTTCAAAGACTCAGAAAAAACTACTTAGTACTTCTACTGTGAGCACCAGTAATAATAATAATATTAATAATAAAAGGCCTTCAGGCCACAAATATATAGCAGGCAAAGACAGTCCTTAGTTATATTTCTCTATTATAAAGCTGATCTGTGGTCAAAAATAAACCCAGAACACAGACATGAAATATCAGATGAACCAAAATCTCAGAATGCAGTCCATGCGCGAGGATTGATTAAACTCAAAGATAAGGCCTCCAGATCAATTATGCTTCCATGGTAACTTTATTAATGTTCCTGAGATAAGTATTACCTAGATAGTGAGCAGTGTACTCTGATGTGTGTCTGAAAAGAGTGGCAGGAAGCAGCCACCTTTCCTTTAAATACTTTGGTGAGTTGTGAGAGCAGACATCATGATCCCTCTGTTCTTCTTTGAGTGATTGCTCATGTCAATTCCAATTAGGTGTGTGCGCGCTACATGCACGGTAGCCGGAAGGTTTTTCCCCTAGCAGTACCCATCAGGTTGGACCAGGCGCCTGCTGGGGTCGCGCCTTCATGGCACTGAATATAGGGCCCTACCAACCCACCACCACTTCAGTTCCTTCTTACTGACTATGACAGTTAGCTGGAAAACTCGTAGCTCTTGCTTTGCAAGCGCAACTTCCCTAGTATCTTGAACATTTGTATTGTAAATAGTTTTGAGATAAGTTTATAGTAGTATAGTTTTAGTATAGTGTTAGAAGTGCTCTAATCATGAGATGTGTTTTGGTTCTTACCCACCTTCACCCCCCAAAAAACACCCACAAAAAATAACTATAAATGGAGTTCTGCTGTGACATAATATAGGAGCGGATCTGCCTGGCAAAATATTCCATCTTTTTTCCTCTGGGATAAGACCCCCCCCCTTCACTGCTGCTGTTGCAGATGCCTCTGGATAAGACCATAGCTGGGAGCAAGTGTATGTATCATAAATTGGGGAACAAGAACTCCTCGTAATGTAATTTTTTAAGTAGTAGTCTTTCTCCTCCTCTGTTCAGGCAGAACAGAGGGAGAGAGAAAGGTGCTAATCCCCTTGAAATGATCGGTTAGCAGGTATGTGGTAGGAGACCATTGGTGCAAGAGGAGTGGAACTGCCTTCACTATGAACCAAATCCTCATGCTAGCACCAACTCTGAATTGATGCAGAGAAGCAGTGGTCCAGGCCCCTTGTGCTGCCTTGTGGTGTGCTGGAGGGTCTATGCAGCAGAGAATCCTCTGGCCCTGATTCTAGCCAGTAACAATGTTCCCGTGGACTGATCTGCAGAGACACTCACAGACCAAGGATGCTGGGGCTTTCTGCACAGAACCCAAAGCTAATCAAATAAATTAGAGATGGCAAAGCCCTGTTAGAGCATCTTGTCCATCCCCTGCCTGAGCAAGACTGCTTCCTACTGTAAGTATCGAGTGTTATTTTCCACTCCACTTTCTTTAGACTAAAATGATGTTTCAGCATGAACAATTTTCAGATCTTTTTGAGAAAAATCAGCAAAACTCTTTCCCCAGTACCTTTCAACAGCCACTTCCCTGTACAGCTATCAAATCTAATGGCCATTCAATTGGATTACTGCATGTTTTGAAGACCTAATTCTGTCAGTGGCCACCTAACACCATCTTGTTTCCTTACAGTGGCTCTGAGAAAGGAAGCAGTGTGACTGAAGTGCCGATGATCAAAAAGCACAATGGGATGCATCTTTCTCTCCCTGATGCTCACGATAATGACTCTGGTGAGGAAAATAATTTAAAAAAAACTTTCTCCTTTCCAAAACCAAACGCACATTTTCCTAAAGGAGAGAAAGTGGTGTTTTCTAGTGTTCTGGGCACTGGTCTGGGAGTCAGGCATTTTGAATTCTATTCTTGATTCTGTAAATGCCCTGGTGTGTGACCAGGGCAAGTCACTTCACTTATCTCTGCTTCAGTTTCCCCATCCATAAAAGGGACATAATGATACTTACCTCTTTTGGTAAAGTACATTGATATCTATAAATGAAAAGTGCTAGATATGAGCTTCCTGTTAGTACTAGTAGGTGAAAGTCCATGCTGTCGTATGGGTATAATTTATAAAGATATGTGTTTAAAAAAATGGCTGAGAACTTAAAAACTGGACGGTAACAGGCAACATATCCCATTGATGATTCAACCTGGTGATATTTTGGACAAAAAGTGCTCTCAGCCATGCGTGTAGTTGTTTCCATCACAATCTTAACAGACAGTCTAGGCTCTAGAGTTATGTTTGGGGTTATTGTCTGTAGGGGGGGCTGTGCTGGGAGATTTATTGGCAAATGATGGGCATGTGCTGCCATGAGGGGCTATGTATATTTGGAGTTATTGTGAACGCTGGTTGTGGTGTTGTGTGGGTGGTTGTGTTAATTTGTGTCTAGGAGGATTGTGCTGGGAGAGTTGTGTCAGTTTGTGTGGGTGGCCATATGAGAACTGGTGATTCTAACAAACTTTACAACTACTCCCTCAGACACCAGACATTGAGCCCACTGAGGGGGAAGTTATGTGAAGGTCTTGAATCCACTATCCAATGCAAACAGCATGTTGTAATGTTTTTAGCACATGATTATGCAAACTTATGCAGAGAGAAGCATATTCCACTGTACATGGCTTTTACAGATTTAACAAAAGCCTTTGACATGGTTAGTCAGTCAGGGCTTTACATAGTTCTGGAGAAGGTTGGTCGTACACCTATATTGCTAAACCTTGTGAAATCCTTACACAGTGGCATGAAGGCAACCGTAATGTATGAAAACCAGGAATCTGACTCATTTAACACCAACAATGGAGTGAAGCAGGGTTGGATACTGGCTCCTACATTATTTAATATTTACTTCTCATTCCTGCTTTGGTATGCGTTTTGTGATGTTCGAGAGGTGTCTATCTTAGCACCAGAGATGACATAGGTTTGTTTAACATGTCAAGGATCAGAGCTAAGACGATGGTGAAGGAGATCACCATAAGGGACCTGTTGTTTACAGATGATGCAGCCGCTGTGGCTCACAGTGTTGATGCCCTACAACATCTTATTACCAAGTTCTCTGATTCATGAAAAAACAATTGTCTAGCAATAAGCTTGAAGAAGACTGTTCTCATGAAGCAAGGCTCTTCAGAACCAGTTCCGGATATCACCTTAGATGGTATTCATCTAGATGTTGTTGACCAGTTTTGCTACCCTGGCTCTGCTGTTACTGGCAATGTAGATCTTGATGCTTAGCTCACTAGTAGAATCGGCAAAGCAGACAGGAACTTTGGTCTTTTGCAAGACAGAGCCTGGAATAATAACAAATTCTCAACTAAAAGGAAAATCTCTATTTATGAGACGTATTTTATCCACTCTTCTGTATGGCTCAGAAAATGGATGACTTATACCAAACATACCAAAAGTCTAAACAGCTTTCGTATCAGATGCTTGCGTAAAATTCTTTAAATAAGATGTCAAGACAAGGTGACAAATGTGGAAGTGTTAAAATCATGCTCATATGTCATTCATGGAAATGTTGATTAGTAAGAAAAGACTCAGGTGGCTCGGACATGTCAAGCAAATGCCGGGATCCCTAAGAGTGTGCTGTACTCTGAAGCTCGCAAAGGGTCTAGAAAGAGAGGCAGATGACTGCGCAGATTTCAGGATGCTTGCAAAGATGACTTCGTATCCTTTGGCATCTCTATGGATGATTGGGAAAGGAGTGCAGAATGCTGCTCTGGTTGGTGAAGCCAGCTTGTAGATGGAGCGAGGTGTTGCAAGTCAGACTGGATCAAGCTTTGTGGTGACCGGCATCAGAGGAGGAAAGAATCTGCTGCTTGGATTCAGAGCATTGCTAGTGCCTGGGTGTGCCCTACCTGTGGATGGACTGTCACTCGCGCATCAAACTCAGCAGCCATCAAAGAACTCATTGGCACATACACCGTGCTCTGTAAAGAGCGACAATGCCATTGACTTGATGCAAACTTTTGAAAAATTTATAGAGGAGGAGGAATGACTGTATTCCCTGGGGCTGAGGAAGTAGTTAACATTTAGAACAGATAGTTTAAAGGCGAGAACTTTCCTGGCTTCTCTCATCCTTGCCCTTATAAGTAAATCATTGGGTTTATCTCAACAGCACTCACTTGATTACAAAAAAAGAAAAACAGTGGCCAGGAAACAGTTAATTTGTGTTCACTATAAGGCCTGATGCTGGTGCATGCTCAGTGGTCCCAACTCCGATTCACTTAAGTGGGGTAAGGGGGCCCAGCAGATGGTATTCAGGGTGGCTAACTTGTGATGCCGTCTGGATAGCCATGGCTATGCTGCTATTTTTAGTGCAGTAGTTCTAATTGAACTAGCGTGGGTATGTCTACCTGTAATGAAAATTATACTCTCAGCTGCAATGTAGACTTACCCTTGGAGAGAAGGATATCACATGCAGAAAACGGCCCATTATTTTGTGCCATGTCTTTCAGTGTTAAATACACAGCTCTTAGTAAATTGTGTAGGATTAAGATATATCCTCTTCGGACGGATAAAATGCATGACGAGCTTAGGATCTGACCTTACAAGCATTTGTGCATGTGAACTTTACTCATGGAATTCATTGGGGCTGCTCCCATGTGCGTTTGCAGCATTGAGCCCTTAGTGTATATATTTATAACACTGTAATCTTATCAATTCTGTGCGCATCTATTCATGTAATTTTTAATCTGTTTATTCCATTTCCTTGTATTACCTTCTGCTATGATGAGTCTCCATACTTTGTTTAAATCCCCTTTTCCGTTGTCTGCATGAGGCAGGGTCATGCAGTATGAATTTGACTTATTGAAGATAACAAGTCAAATTCGCACTAATGTAAGAGTGTGCTACTTCAACTGACTTACAAGGGAGTTAAGGACGCAGTCTCTGCGGCTGTGTTTTCAAGAACAGGCCTTTTGCAATGAGGCATTGTAGCCCAATGGATAGGGGCAGGGACTCATGAGACTTGAGTTCTATTCCCATCTCAGCTATTGCCTCAATACATGACTTTGGGCAAGTCACTTAAACTGAATTTTTTAAATTTTGTGTGCCTCAATTTTTGGTGTCTAACCTGAGAAAACTAGGTCGATTTAACCCCTGCACCCTCCACTGTAACTGATGCTGACTGCCTTGTGGAAGGAGCTCTGATTCGGGATCTTTCTAAATCATGCTCTTTTTTCCTTCCAGAAATCACTTTTGTGGCTGCCACATTATCAGGGGAAAGGGGACATTACTGAACACCCTTGAGCCATGCCAATCTCCAGAGATGATTTCAGCACTTTCTCTCACACTCACAAGACTTGTGCTGTGTGCAGTCCATCTATAGGCAGGGAGCCCTTTCCCCTTCCTCTCCAATGTCCAAGTTTCAGAGTCCATGGTGTGTGAGGTTGCTGTTGCTCCCAATGTGGAGGGTGGGTGATGCTGCAAAGACCTGATTTATTCCATGCACCCTGGCTGATTTGGGGAAAGAGTTCCAGAGATCTGGGCTTTCCAAAGTCTGCTTCTTTTTGTTCCCCATGTGAAGAAGGGGAAGAGAGGCTGCTGGGCTCAGTGCCCTAGGTTGAGTCCCTTTAGTCATAGTGGAAGGCCCTGCACCCTCAGCTGTAACTGGTGCTGATTGCCTTGATTTGGGATCATTCTGGAGCAGGCTCTGGTTTCCTTCCAGAAATCCCCTGGGAATATACTGCAGTGGAATGGTAATGTTCAGTCATTTCACACTCTCTGGAATCTTCGCTGTAGGGAGGATTATTCGGATTGTTTGACACTATCTTCTCTTTCAGTTATACCACAAGGAGATTATTCTGTGCAAGAATCTTAGGCTGTATCTATACTAGCACTTTTGTCAGTATAACTTCTGTCACTCAGGGGTGTGAAAAAACACAGCCCAGAGCGACGTAAGTTACACTGGTAGAAGCACCAGTGCGGACAGCGCTATGTCGGCAGGAGATGCTACTGCCACTTATTGGGGCTGGTTTAATTATGTCGACAGGAGAGCTCTCTCCCATCAGCACAGAGCAGCTACACTGGCAGCTGCATTGGTACAGCTGTGCTGCTGCAAGCTCTCTAATGTAGACATGGCCTTAGTTTTGCTACCAGAAACATTAGCTCCTCCTTGTTTTCTTCAACTTCTCCTGACTGGAGAAGTGCTCCTAATTAAATTCACGAAGACCAGTCAGCTGCCTTGCTGTTTCATTCTTTTTCTGACTTTTGATGCCATTTTGATTTTCCTCCACTGACTGATTTTTCACAGACAAATATTAAACTTGATTCTTGGTCCCCACGATGATCTTAGAACAATGCTTTATAACTTCTTTAGATACATTTATATGACTTATGCAATGAGTAAAAACAGTTTTCTTTTTTTATGATTCCTTCTCCAAATGTGAAGAAAATTTACTGCAAGATGTAGACTTTATGGTCTGTCTAGTGAAGCTGTTAAAAAGAGAGACTGCAGTAAATAACTAATTGTGGGATTTCGGTGCTTTTTTGTTGTTTGATTTTATGTAATATTTACGCTTCCATTGAAAGAGACAGTTTTGCACTTCTCTTGCCTTCTTTCTAAGATCAAGGATACATGAGCTTAATATGTGGGTATTTCCTCTGGCAGGAGACTATATCCTACCCTTGCATAGGAAATGATTTTGTGATCTCTACTTATTAATGTTGTTTATTATTTGTATTATCATTGCATCTACCATGATCCACTTATGTTGTTAAGTGTGCATGGAAGAGGGAACAACTATAAATTAAGAAAATGTAAAAGCCACTTAGCTTATTAGACACTAACAGCCTTGTGCTGCAAGATGCTGAGCAACCTCAAGTCCCTTTGACTACCTTGCAAGTTGAGGAACTCAGCAGCTGGCAGGATCAAACTCAAATCACATACTTCACTTTTATTTGAAACTACCCAACTAATACATTGTAGGGATAGAGAGAGAACTATATTTTTGAAGTACAACTGAGAAATGATGTTCCTAGAAAGTCTGCTTTGAAATAGATGGATACTTTACTAGCTTATAAGTGGGCATTCACCTGTATGGCACAGCCTGAACCTCGGCAGAATACCAAAATTGCACTGAAGTGGTATAGTCTCCCAGATCTGTCTCAGAAGGAGATTAGGGTTCCCTAGGCTCTGGGGATGTGAATGAAACAGACTCATGTCTGCCCTGTCAATGTAATCAGAACAGGTCCATAATTCATGGAAAGGGCTTTTTAAGTAACATGCTTCGAAAAAGACACTCTGAGAGGGGACAGTCTTGGGAGAGAAATATATAATTGCATACTGTTTTTAAAGCACTCAGATAATGTGATGATGGTCACTAATTTAAGAATCAGGATAGATTGATTGCAGAATCAAAACCCCCCAAATAATTTGAAGCCATAATTATTACGTTACTACATTGTCATCTCTTTGGAACATTAGACTTGGAATGTCTTTGAAAATATGTAGGAACTTAAAGAATGCATTTAGAAAGAGAACATTTATGTTTTTAAAGTGAGTTGTAGGGGGTGCATGCACCAAAAGCATTACAGGACTGTTTTGAAGTTTTGCTGCTTAAAATGAATTACACTCAGTAGTGAGATAATGGAACAAATACACCCCATAGCAATGCTAGCCTTCCAGTTGTGTGTTTGGATTATCCTCAGACATTTATGTCTTACAGGCTCTGAGTTATATAAAAGCTATGGGGCCAAATCCTGCCCTGTGCTGCACAGGTGTCTTAGAAGGCAAATGGGCAAAGGGAGCATCTTACTCTCCTTCCACCCAGCAACATCCACCCAGTAGGGCAGGATTCCAGCTCAGTGCTCATGAGAGCACTAGACAGGGGATCAGGCTGCTGTGCCTGCTGGCACTCCACAGCCCCAGTGGATCGTGGTCTGCTGGCAAGGGAGTGTGGCTTGGCAATATGTGTGCAGCATACTTCTACTGGGAATGCAAGCAGTTCCTTTTAAAAAGACAGCAGTGTATGCCTCACCACAGGTTTTGTACCCATCTGTTCTCTCCATTGCCCCGACCCATCCTGGCGGAATGTCTCTAGGTAACAAAGCCTGCACTGCTCCTATCATGTGGCTCCAGAAAGACAAGACAGGGTATAACCCTAGGATCATTTGGTCTGCAAGGTCAGTATTTAGCAGTGCGTTAAGGAATAATGTTGTCTGGGCAACAGCTTCTGTCACAGCAACTCTTTAGGGAGGTATTCTCAGCCTTAGTCTCATTTACCTACTTTCTTGACATTATTTTAGAAGCTTAAAACCAAACACTGATTTTGGCTCAGGTTTATTTTTCCTCCCATTTTGTAACCTTTTCTTAGGTGATAGGCATCCTGGTACTCCCTAATACACATGGGCACATGATCCTGCTCTGGAAACCTATGGGCACTCTGTCCATGCACCACTTTAAGGAACAGTGTTTGATACGGTATTCTGTTTGCAGAGATGGCAATTCTGAATGTATTATGCTTACATAATAGTATAGGACATATTAAAGGTTAATATAGTCAAAGCTCTGAGCTTTTTCCACTACCCAGGTTTAAAAGAAAAATCAAGGAGGTGTCTAAACCAGTGGAATGATATTGATGTTACTTGAAATTTACATGCTGGGTGAATTGTTCTAACCAAATTTGTAATATTTTACCGAGATTTCTTATTAATAATCCATAATTTGTAGTTTGACAGTGTGTTTGTAAATAAATCTGATTATTAGCGAGTATTTTATCATAGATTTGATTTGGGAATTGTCCTTTCCAGATGATCAAAATATGGTTGCTTCCTTGAGGTTGCTAAGCAGACTTTAGTAAAATTACTGTCTGTGTCTTAGAGCTAGTCTACACTGGCAATGCTAAAGCGCTTTACCTGACAGCGCTTTAACGTGGCCAGTGCTCTAAAAAAACACCTCCAGGAGGAGCGTAGCTACCAGCACTGGGAGCGCGGCTCCCAGCGCTGGTGCACTGTCTATACTGGCGCTTTACAGCGCTGAAACTTGTTGCGCTCAGGGGGGTGTTTTTTCACACCCCTGAGTGAGAAAGTTGCAGTGCTGTAAAAAGTGCCAGTGTAGACAAGCCCTTAGTTTGTTTGTTTTGAGCTGCAGCCCCAAGGTCTGGAAATTAAATTAATCTGTTACAAAGTACAAAGATGCAGGGTCTGATTCTCCATTCTGTTACAACAGTTTGAAGTCGTTGGAGTTACACTAGCATAAAACTGGCACAGTGGAGTGAAGAATCAGACCACAGTCTTTAATTAGCCAAGGAAAAATGATGGATTATAAGTTCATTGTTGTTTTGTTTTTAGGCTCACAGCGCGCCTCTTCTGTTGCTGCTTCACGACTGGAACAGGCCATGTCTGAAGTAACTATGCAGAATACTGCCCTGAGGCAAGGACCTATGCAACTATGGACAACCCTTGAACAAATATGGCTACAAGCTGGTATGTCTCAGTGATTTTGCAATTAGTCACCGTGCAGAACTTAAAAAACAGAATGAAAGTAACAAATTCTAGAGCCATTTGCAAATATTCCACTATGGGTGAGATTTTTTAAGTGAATTTATTCCTCTGAGGTCCTTCTTCAGGGCTGACTCTGATCCCACCGTTGATTATGATAAGATTCCCATTGGCTAATGTGGGAGAAGGATGAGTTGCTTTCTCTGTACATTTTTTGTGAGTTGAAGTACCATTCTTGTAAGGCTAACCACATCCCTCTTGTTTGTGGAATTCAGAGGAATCAACTTATCCTGCTATTTGAGAGTCTTGAGGTTACATAGAATGAAATAAACATTGTTGGGGCAGATTCTCAAATGTTATAAATTGTCATAGCTCCATTGACTTTAGTTTTCTGTATGTGATATGTATTTGTTATATTAAATACACCAGACCTGATACTTCAGTATCAGGATTTTTTCAACTTTTGTATCTCCATTCATCCTTTAACATACAGAAAACTCTTCGGGCTTCACACTGAGAAGTGTTTTTAAAAGAATGTATTTTATTAGTGGAGGCAGTCTGATCCTTTTTTTCTGCTACTTACAGGGGAACTCAGCAAAAACATGTATTGAATATTCTTTCTACCAGGGACAGCTCAATCTTTGCCAAGTCTTAAGTGAAAATTATTAAACATGCATGAAAAAATCCCCACTTCATTTTCCCTTTCCTTGCTTGAATATAAGAACATAAGAATTGCCATACTGGGTCAGACCAAAGGTCCATCTAGCCCAATATCCTGTCTTCTGACAGTGGCCAATGCCAGGTGTCCCAGAGGGAATGAACAGAACAGGTAACCATCAAGTGATTCATCCTCTGTCACCCTTTCCCAGCTTCTGGCAAACAGAGGCTAGGGACACAATCCCTGCCCATCCTGGCTAATAGCCACTGATGGAGCTATCCTCCCTGAACTTATCTAGTTATAACATCCTCAGTCTCTTGAGGATAGATAGTTCCTTGTCTTGTGGAGAACCCTCAGCTTCTTTATGGTGGGGTTCAAGGGAGGGACATATTTATGCTTTATGTAAATGGAGGGATAGGAATAAGCTAGACTTGCCTAACATTTTACCTAAGGTGTAAAGAGCTCATGAAAGGAGAGAGAGGGCTAAGAAATCCACAAGTTGGGGTTGATCTCAGGACTCATGAATGGTTTATATATAAGGTTGCCAACTTTCTGATTGCAGAAAACTGAACACCCTTGCCTGACCCTTGACCCACCCCTTCCCCAAGGCCGGGTCCCTGCCCCGCTGCTTCTCTGAAGCCCCAGCCCCGCTCACACCATCCCCCTTTCCTCCGTCGCTTGCTCTCCCCAACCCTTGCTCACTTGCTCATTTTCACCGGGCAGGGGTAGGGGTGCGGGCTCTGGAATAGGACCGAGGATGAGGGATTTGGGATGCAGGAGGGGGCTCCGGGTTGGGGCCAAGGGGTTCAGAGTGTGGGAGGGGGTGAGTGTTCCAGATGGGAGTGCGGGTTCTGGGGTGGTGCCAGGGATGAGGGGTTCAGGGTGTGGGGAGGGTCTCCAGGGTAGGGCAGGGGGTTGGAGTGCAGGAGGGGGTGAGGGCTCTGGTTGGGGGTGTGGACTCAGGGGTGGGGCCAGGATGAGGGATTTGGGGTATAGGAGGGGGCTCTGGGCTGGGGCCAAGGGGTTCGGAGTGTGGAAGGAGGAGAGGGCTCCGACTGGGGGTGTGGGTGTGACACCCTGGCACCCCAATATTCACCGCTGTCATGTAATTAGGATGTATTTTGTACATAGTATGCCTTGTGAGGTATCATTCTAAAAGTATTGATCTGCTAGACATTAATATCTCGTTGGATTGTATGTGCTATCGTCATATGTTAAGTTATGAAGTTTGGCTATGTATGTGTTACTGAAACCTGTTGTGAAACTTTACTAAGAAAACTGTCCAGGTTGCTGGCTGCTAGCAGGTTGCAGATAAGCAAAGGACAGACCTCACTCTAGAGTGCATCGGAAGATGTGTCCTAGAGAGAAGCCCAGAGGAGGCTGATGGAGTCCTAGAGACTGCTGCGGCGGGTTAGGGTTCCATGGGCTCTGTAGCTGGAGGCAAGCCCAACTCAAAAGAGGGAGGAGGGTGTAGTGCCTACCAGTGAAAGGACTGTTCTGGCTGTTAGATAGATCCCACTCTAGAGAGCACAAGGGTGTGTGTCTTAGAGGTGGCCCAGAGGAGGAAATAGAGAAGGAATTTGGGGGAGTACAGGAGTGTCTCCTCACTAATTACAGGGAAGGGTTTGCCCAGGACAGATTTGCTGGGTCGGCATCTGTGCTCCCAGGCACCCAACCTGTGGCTCAGGTTTTAAGAGGAAACTGTGTAACTGACCTCCCAAAGGGGAGCAGTCATACAATTAACCTCTTGGGATCAGAGAGAGGAGTGGCAGAGGGTACCCCAATCCAGGTCCCACTTTTGCAAAATGCTGTTCCTGATGTACTTGTGAAAACTAACTCTGTCTCTTTAAGACAGGATAAGAATCCTATTAAAGACTTGAGTGCAAATGAAAATGCTAATAACCCACCTGAGAAAGGGGAGGAGGAAGCAATCTCCAGGGCGGGTGGGTAAAATCTACCAAACAGCTAAGGAAAAGCTCCTGAAAAATCACAGCCTCTAGAAGGGGGTGGGGAAAGTCCCAATTCTTGGAGTAAGAATTACAAAGAAACCCTAGGAGGAGGAAGGGATTTTTTGCATGGGCATAGCCCTGGAGATGGAATGCAGCCCTACAGGGGGCCGGCCAGTGCCACGCTAGATCCTCTTACATTCTTACCTCTCCAAAGCCCCAAAGACATATATGAACTGAGAACCTTCACTAAAGGGAAAGAAAGACCAGTAGTCAAACACATAATATGGTTCAGGAAGGGGTTGAAAAACACGATGAGTATTGAACAAACCGGACTGTCTAAATAGAAGGCGTGGTATGATAAACGTACCTGGAAACATCCAAGCAACCTTAATTCTGGCACCACGGTCCAATCTTCCCTTCATATCTAAAGTTTTATCCTGTAAACCCTCACTATACTGCACAATAAAAAGATTACAAGATGAGGCCACTAAATTATAGGATGTTATATTTGTGTCAGGGGCTTCAGAAACTTCACAAACAATGGAGGTAGACATCTTAAAAGTTAAAATCCATTGCATTGGTAGATTGGCCATACCAATCATCTTCTCCCATCTCATCTGCATCATACTTATTGGAAGGGATTAAGCAGTCTGTAGTGTATGTAATCTTAAATCTGAGAGTGATCTAGCTTTATGCGTTTACTTACTTATGGGTAAACAAAGAGCTATTGCATCTATTTGTATGAATGGTGACCTCGGTTGCATCAGTCATTTACATATCACATTCTTGGGAGTCTTAAACCCCTAAAGTAGATAGAGACGTGGGATGAAATCCTAGTAAAACTTGCATTGATTTCAGTGGAGTCAGGATTTCACCCATGGTGCCATTCATAAAGAATGAGAATGAGAATCAGTTAATTAATTGTTAAAAGTATTTTGCTTTTGACAGTATGTGGCCGAAAGAGGGGTTGGAGTTAGCTCAACAAATGTCTAATAGGCATTACAACAGACCAGAATTTGTGTTTACTGATTACATGAAACTGCTGCTTATGAATGGGAAAGAACTTTTGGGCCCCCCCACACCCGTTGCCATGGGGCCGTGCCCCTTGCTCCTCCTCTCCCCTGAGGCCCCACCCCCTGGCCAGGACAGAAGCCGGAGCTGAGCTGTGGTAAGAGCCGCAGCAGCTGCCCAGGGAGCCCGGGTTACTAAGGGGAGCCCAAGGGCTCCGGAACCTTTGTAAAAGTTGGGGGGTGGGGGGCCCAAGGCCAAAGTGGTGGAGGAATCTCCCCCCATTGCCCTTGGGCCCTGCTGCCTCCCCCACCTCCCCCCACTATTGCCCCAAGTTTCCTTCCATGGCCTCGCATCCCAGGCCCATCCTGCTCCTTGCCTCTTGACCACAGCGCCCCACTGACCATGGCTCCCACCCGTAAGGCCGGCCCTGTGTTCACCTTATTTCCAAACTCCATTGCCTTCATGGATTGGCATCAGGATACACATGCCAAAATTAAAACTCCCAGGCTCAGAGTGGAGCAAGATCTAAACAGCAAGCTATTAGCATTAAGATTTACATTCCTCCTCTAGTGGCCAAGATTAATGGTCTGGGTATATTAGGATGCACTCCACAGGGCCATAATGACAAGATTCACATTAGAGAGACAAGGTAGGTGATGTACTATCTTTTATTGGACCAGCTTCTGTTAGTGAGAGAGACAAGCTTTCAAGCTTACAGATTTTAAGAAGAGCTCTGCATAAGCTTGTCTCTCTCACCAACAGAAGTTGCTCCAATAAAAAATATTACCTCACCCACCTTGTCTCTCTAAAGCTACATCTACACTACAGGGGGGGGGTCGATTTAAGATACGCAAATTCAGCTACGTGAATAGCGTAGCTGAATTCGACGTATCGCAGCCGACTTACCCCGCTGTGAGGACGGCGGCAAAATCGACCTCTGCGGCTTCCCGTCGACGGCGCTTACTCCCACCTCCGCTGGTGGAATAAGAGCGTCGATTCGGGGATCGATTGTCGCGTCCCGACGGGACATGATTAATCAATCCCCGAGAGGTCGATTTCTACCTGCCGATTCAGGCGGGTAGTGTAGACCTAGCCTAATATCCTAGGACTAATAGGGCTACAACACTGCATACAGATATGGAGGATTCACCTTAACAGCCCAGAGTGACTATCACACCAGGGCACTATTTTCAGAATTCATATTTCTAGCATAATATCATCATTACACCAGGGCACCAGCACTACCAGCACTGAGAGATAAATATAGCAAGATGTGAGTACCAAAAATTCACAGTACAAGCACACTGGGATCCACACAGCAGGATAGCAGTGTCAGAATGCATGGTCACAAAATAGTGGGGATGCAC